CAAGATCATGTTTCTAGCATTTGTGGTTGATGAGTTATAGCCGTTCAAAGGTAACCAATCACACTTGTGTTTCTTTTGGTAGCCACTGTATATACCTAACCAGACCTTTACCTAACTTAAATGTCTTACCATTTGATATTTATTCAATAAAATTACTTAACACTATTAAATTTAACTTTATTTCTACTTCTTCTTCTCAATTTTATACAGATAGTTCTTTAACCTCTCTTAATTCTTTAAACATTTATTTGGATGTTACATGGTTACAGACTAATCCAAACTGACTATCACTATCCTTCAATGCTACTCTTTTCTCACAAAATCCCTCCTTTATTCTCGCAGAAATTATCGCTATTTTAGCTGTGATCTATACTTCACCTTTCAATTCTAATGTGAAAATTTGCACTGATTCACAAGCCACTATTTCACTATCTATCAACCCTACTTTCAAAATTCCATATTTTCACATTTGATCAATGTTATTTAGCCTATTAACTCAAAACAACATATCTGTTTCATTCACTAAAGTAAAAGCTCACACTGATGATCTCTTTAATAACATAGTTGACAAACTTGCAAAGTGACTTCCTGTTTACCAACTATCCATCAACAAAGATCATTTGGATCCAGACTACTATCTTTACCATCACTTAATTCCAATTATAGCTTCCTATCATCTTTTCATTAAAAACAAAAAACAAGCTGTTTGGGCTGAGTTCTTGCTATCCTTATCATATCTAAGTCCATATTGTGATAAGTTTATCGATTGGCCTCTTCTTTTCAAGATCCTCAATGATGAAGAATCTTCTCATAAAACGTTCTTTATAGTATGCTTCAAAAAGAAATTTAAAATCAAGATGTTGCTCTAATTGCTTCCTATTTTAGAAGTAGTATATACTTATATTCTTAATACATATACTTTAACACGATGCTTTCATTGTTATTCATATATTGAAGATTTTGAATACCTGTAGCTGTGTCCAAAAAATAATCCAATCCTTCAGGATATTATTGCTATTCACAAAAAAACATTCATTACCTATCTTGAGGAAATAAATACTTTATTGGATGACTCTCTCTTACAAGAAATATCATTAGATAATATCTGAACTTCTGCATCCAGCACAGCGGATTTTTAGATCCTTAATTTAATTAAAGGAATAATATCCTTATCTCTGTCTGACAAGATTATTGCTTGTGTATCTAAGAAAGAATTGTTATATGATCTCCTATCCTCCTTATATCATGATATCTCTACATCTTGTTATGAGATATGAAAATATAGAAATGTTGCTCTTAATAAATGGAAAATTATAAATAATATTAAAAAAGACTACACTATCCCTTGGATCTCCTCAGGTTTTCCACACTCTTCTTCTATCCCCTTAACTTCAAATCTCACATCCTTTATAACGGCTCTCACATATGGCTTTCACTGATCAAATTTTTGAAATAGCAGTAACCACGCCTTCCTTTCTGGATGTTTTATAACTGTATAATAGTTTAGTTTTGTTAAGTTTTCTTTTCTTTTCTCTTCTGTTTATAATTTAGTTCAGTAAAGTGCAAAGTTAGTATTGATAAAGTAGTTTAATTCAAATTAATTTATAGATATTTTTGTATTTTCTATTTTATTATATGTATTCAGTATTATATAAATTTAATAAAGATTGTGCAAAATTGCCACACTTCAAAAAAAAAAAAAAAATTCAGTATACTTATGCCACAAGTATAGCAGACTTTTTTGTGATTGGCTAATTATATACTAATATGATTGACCAATAACAAATCATGTGACTATTCATTCTAATAAAAAATTAAAAATTTTTTAAGTCTGAAATCATTAATATTTATATGAAAATATTATGTAAAAAGAATCAAATTATCTTTAATAAGTGAAAAATATATTAAAATATTTTTTTATTAAATTATATTAATGTAAAATATATTTAGATATTTATCTAAATTATAATTCTTTATTAGTTATTTGGTTTAAAAATTTAAATTAAATTATATAATAAAGTTAAAACATAAAAGAATAATTGTATATTATTTATTATTTATTAGAAATAATCCAACCTTCTCTTTTATTTATATAAATAAATAAAATAAGTCTTAAAAATATATATCAATATATAATTCAAATAATCTTTTTTTTTCTCTCTTTCTCTCTATATATATAAAATAACATATTATAAAGAAACCCTTATTAACTAAATTCTGAATTATTTTGCTTTTTACCAAATTCTTTAACAATTTATAAAACAGAAGGTATACTTTAGAAATTTTTTTATCACAACTCTTGTAAATTTATCTCTGTGATTAGTATAGTGAACTTTTGTTATGATTGGTTAATTTTTATAGATCATTTGTTAATTTTTCTAAAATCTTATTAGTTGATAAAATGATATTTAAAAAAAATCAAAAAAATTTTACCATAAGAACTATTATTTTGACATAAAAGAAATAAAATATTTTTGTGTGACTTATCTTTCTTAGCTAAATTTCGTGGTAATAATAAGCATAGTTTTGAATCAGAAAATATAATGCTGTTCTATATTTAGAATTGAATCTCAACTAGAATTCGAAAGTTGAATTTGCTAAGTTTTGTTTTTAAGAATTAATTCTATGAATCATTAAGCTAGCTGGATGTCAGGTAATATACTTGTTCTCATTTTACTAGCTCATATTTTTTTATTTTTAAATTGAATGCTAATTTATTGTTTAATTCAGAATAGCCAAAGTCTTAAAATAAATTAATAGTTTTATTAAATTGGAGAAATCAATTAAACGTTTTATAATATGCATTATGATATTTAATTATATATATATATTATAAAAGATTACAATAATACGATATGTAAATTAAAATTATCAAATGTAATAATTTAATAAAAATAATAAAATATATATATTTATAAAGAAAAAAACTACAATTTTTTAAATTTTTTTTTTGTTTTTATTAATTAAAAAAATAATTATATATATAGTCAACTCTTGTTATAACGAACTTTATGTTCTAGACCTCAACTTCACTATAAGGTTATAGTAAAGATTTTAAGAGATTTTATTGGCTAATTCGCTATAACAAGAGTATTTTTATTATATTTGTTCAAAAAATTCGTTATATTAAGAATTTGCTATAACAAGAGTTAACTGTATATAATAGCTATCATTTACTCTTATACTTTATATATCACTCTTCTCATATTTTAATATTTTTTTTCACAATTTATTAGTTTTATTTCATAATAACTCTTTCTAATTATATGCTTATTAAATCATTTATAGTCTTTTTAATAAGTAATCTATATTATTCTCTAAAAAAAGATCTTTAATGCTAATATTAGAGTTATCACTAGTTTCAGCATTATCCTTCTTATCTACATCATTATCTATCTTTATTTTACTAAGTAAATCTAAAGTTTTCTGAAAAGCTTTACAATTAACTTTAATTCTGCTTATAAGAAAATCAGCACTATACTGGTATTGACCTCTAACTTAAGTAAAAAACATTCAAAATAATAAGTATGTTCATAAATTAAATGTAATTTACCTTATTAAAATCTATACAGCCTTTCAAATTGTAGTATCTGTCTTCTCGAGAAGGATGTATTGTATTCTAAGCTATTGATAATATCTTGATATTAACTTTAGCTTTCAATATTAGAAGTTCAAATAATTTGAATTTAGAATATTTATCAAATGAAACAGCTTTTGATTTGCCAATATCCACATATATACCTGTAAAAAGATCTAATAAAAAAAGCACAATACTCTTTTCAAGATATTCTAGCTATTTAACTGAATATCTGATATTATGATCCTCAGAAAATGTGTTGGTAAATGAGTTGTTGTTAGCTACTATAATATTAAAAATTTAACTAAAGAATTCAAGGTGAACTATCGTAGTTATTGGAGTAGGTTGTAAATTATAAGTAATATTAGTAGAAGGAAATATATAGCTAGTAGAAGATGTTGATTCTATTTTCAGATTAAGCGTAACATTGTCAACTTTCTCTTTTTTAGTCTAAATGGTATAGTGATCAGTTCACATTTTCTAAGATAATTTAAACACGAAATGCATAAATGATGATTTAGCTACAAAAGCTATAGTAGCAATCATAAGTATCTGACTGCCTCTAACTCTGGCTACAAGTAAGTAAATTCAAAATTTTTTTTTATTTAAAAGATACATAACCAACTAACTAAAATTAATACATTATGTAGTCACCATCTGACTCTATAAGTACAGCTGTATGCTTTTTTATGTTAGCTACCAAATTCGCGATAAGTACAGATAATAATCAATTCCATTCTTTTGTAAGTTCCTCCTTTAATCCTCTAATTGATTGAATTTTTTTTTTTATATATTAATTTTCATTAACCTCCAAATATTTTCTATAGGGTTTTGGTCTGAAAACATTGATGAC